AAAAATAAAATAAAAATAAAGAATATAGCCAAATTCCATCAAATTGTTTTTTCTGTATTTTTAGCGCCAAATTTCGAAGGGCACTTTGAAATCTAGACCGTATTTTCCAATACGGCAAATACGGTCTGAATCCGCCTCTGCTTTTGCTTTTAAATGAATAAATAAGAAACACCCTTGGTCTGTAGCCCTTGGCTGGAAAGTGGTTTTGCGCAACTTATCAGATCGTGCGCTTTGAGTGGCGCCACCGTCGTTGTAATCAAACGGTAGTCGTTAGTTTTAAAACATTTTTTTAAAATATTTCTAATGGTGACTGAACCATGAAACTTTTTATGTAGATTAATTATAACCTAAATTAGCTTAAACTAACCCTAGAACCTAGAGTAAACTCTCCCTTTAAGATTATGCTATTTACTGAGAATGAGGGAATGATGTTTGCTGTATGCAAGAGTTTCTTCACTAATCATTACATGGAAGATACACGAGCTAGAAATATTGTGATTTGGCTCAAATCTCAGGGTACAGGAAAGTGGAACTTAATTTGTAAGGCCTAGAAAATTTTTGGTAAGATCTTTTGCCATTTATCAGACACCTTGGCAATCACTAATGTTGGCAGGAGCATGCCACTTCAGGTACCTGAAGGCAGTGATGTCCCGATGATTGATTATAATCGAAAGTCAGTCGTTTGCAGCAACCGACTGAGCGCTTGATTAGGAAAATATATAATCAATTATCAAAAAAAAAATTCAAACATTGATGAAATGACTTTATTTTATTTGTGTGTGTTTGTTTTAGTTATATTTCTAACCTATGCCAAACATAAGCAAGTATACTGTTACATGGCTTTTATAATATTGTATTATAAAAAATACTGTATTAAATGATATATTTCAATATCTGGTAGCCGCGATCAATAACATTCAACCGATTATCTTCGATCATCGATTGGTTGGGTGCAACTATGATGAAATTCCAACCGATTCCCATCCCTACCTGTAGGTAGCTAGCTGCTGCTAGCAAGTAGATGTTTAGACATTGTCATATTGATTACTGACAGTAGCGCTCTGTAGGAGAGTTGTCTTTTAGTTAAATATTTGAGAGCCAAGGGGAGCTACGGGAGTTCGGCATGGCGGTTTGTAATCTTGTGTTCTGCTCAGCTACGTTTCCTAAATAAAACGAATCTACATGAAGTTAAATCTCTTGTTTGGGTTTACACAATCATGACAGACATGAATGTAAAATTTGCAGCTTGCACTGCCAAAGGAGGCAACATCGTGTAATCTTGTACAACCAATATATTTTGGTTTTGCAGCTGCTGTTAGGAAGAAGCTCGATGAAGAACTGAAGTCGAAAAATAAGAGGCTTAAAAAATTTGACGGCCAGCACATTGTGGTTCTCAAGTTTGAAGCATATTCGCTGAATGGCGATGGCTCGACCGGCCCCCAGCTGTGCAGTCCTGTCTTTTCTAGTGAGGTAATCAACCAAAGTAAGTGCGAATGACGTTCCTGCTACGTATCTCCACGTGGTCGCATTCATAGGCAAAATGGGTTTACTTGAGTGGCTTCTGTAATAAAATGCATTATTTCTAAAACGTTTCTTGGTGACGTCGAATTGTGGTAATGTTCACTATCATTCACCGAAGCAACTCTTTATTTATCGTCTAGGATCAACCCAGAATGGAGAATTGAGGATATCTAAGATTAGCAAGTCATCAGAATCTTGCAAAGGTGGTCACAGCAGAGAGAATGATACTCAAATGCTAATGTTCACTAGTAAAGTAAAGAAAGGAGGTAAAAAATGTATAGGTTTACCTGTCAATGTGTGTCACCTGTAATGTCTAAAAATGTGTAAGTGCAAGCTGCACCACAGTATTGCAACGACACGGTAGGCCAATAAGCCATATCTGAAAGTCCCCGCCACCATATTGAGATCAGATAAGAGGGGGTGATAAGTTGCCTATATATAACATAGTTACGATAGTACTAGTCTAGGTTTTTTTATCTATAATCTCTTCACTAACATCGTACTTCAATTCACAGGTGCGTTTCTGTTTACAGAAACATTTACAAATTTGATTGTGGCCATTTATGATATTTTGCAATGTTTGTGTTAATGCAAAAACTAAAAACGCACGAGTGTTTACGTTAGTCATGTACCTTCCTAAGCGCGGCTCAGCTATTTTATACCCTCTTTTTCTATTACCTAAATAACGCAGATGGGGTCGTTGTCGTATCAGGTACTACAGACATGTACCCGAGGTAGTTTTAGGTTGTTTAGTATTATGTTTATATTTTTATGAGGTATGTTTAGGGTTAGGGTTAGATTTAGGTTTAGGGTTAGGGTTAGA